CCATCAGGAAACACCCTAAGCGCCGTACATTGTGACCTTGATCGTAAGTGGACGTAGCGTTCGTACTTGTAACACTGAGTGTCGTCACCTTCCGTACTATTGTGTACTTCCTGTATCTTCAACTTGCTACAACACGCTGTGAATATATCAGGGATCAGAGATATTATACAGGTATTGGGCGATCACAGGGATGGAATCCATGGCGCTTATGTACCAGTATGCCTACTTGTGCATGTCGCGCACCGCCCGTTCAAGCTGTTCGTAGGCTTTCGTCTATTCAGGATATTTTTGCGTTCACAACTTGAACAAGTGACCATTATGGACAACGGCACTGATATTCTCTTTATTAACTATTCCTTGTACAGCTGCGCCTTCCTCGCCAGCCACCGGTCCAAGAGTAGTCGAAATAAAACAAAGTCCGAGTGCCGCAGATATGGGTTTACATAAAATCGAGGACAGAGCTCAAGAATATTGACAGGAGACCATGTGAGATCAACCCGCTTACCAAAGATGGGGAGAAGGTGGCATGTGCGGATAATCTGGTCGACAGATATGACGGAAGTACGCCGCTTCTGAGACACCGTGGAGCGGGCAACGGAATACATCCCTAGCTTCAAATCACGGACCTGAAGCGGTGTGAACCATTCAACATATGCAAGAGGATGCATTGCTAGCTTCTGGTAACACTCCGGAGGTCTGAAGATCACTCGAACTTGTGCGACACAGAGATCTGGCAGTAAATGGGTCATCAGAGAGATTCGATTAGACAAAAGCATAGCATACGCACCTGCAATCGGGTTCTCAATATGGTACACACTGTCACGCGTTGAGCCACGCTGCTTTTTATCAACCACAAGGACAGTCGCGAAATGGGCAGGTGATCCAGGATGAAGACCTTCCGGAGGCACAGCACGAACAGCACGCACAGTATCCTTCGTCACCTTCCGTGTCACTTGGCCTATGGCTGGAAGAGAGAGCTTGATCTGCTTGTAGACACTTAGCGATGAGTTGGCCTGGATATGAATGTCTCCTATCGCCTTGATCTCCGTTCGAGTGAGGTGACTGGTATTGGCCGTGCGTAGATAAGTTTCGAGGGCATATGGAAAGTCCGCTGCACCAAAAACAGAGCTGTCAACGATGGTGCTCACAGGCATATTTGGAAATGATGGGTGCTTGGCAATTGTGTAGCCAGTTGGGGCAATGCGAAGCTGATGCAGCTGAGGGCTGGCTGGCTGTGTTTCTGTTGGAGCTGCAGTGGTAGCGTGCGATGAAGGGTTAGAGAACAAGCTGCTGATTTCTTCGCTATCGTCTTCACTGGTCTCAGGCACCAGCGTCTTGCGTGTGCGCTGAACTCGTGGATCAACTTCCGTAGTTGACGTGGTGCTGTCGTCTTCCTCGTCCTCGCCTTCATCATCCTCATCCTCGTCCACCAGTTCTTCCTGCACTGGTAGCACCTTACGCCACTCAAGATAAGCTTCAAAACGGCTGGCAGCTTCACGGCGCTCCAACCACCTAGTCATCTGTTGAATGTACCGCTTCCTGTTGCTTGCGCGATATCCAAGCTTGGCGAAGTCGATGTGCAATCGTTCAGGGCCCTCTGTGTTATAGCCATCAGCAGAGCCAAGGCGGAAGATCGCAGGGAGATAGTGGCCCAACGAGTGTAGCTTCGCGAAGTTGAAGTTTTTGCGGACACCGAGATCGAGGAAGACTTGCTTGTTGTGGTGGAAGGTACGCCAAGCTGTCTTGAGATGTGCAAGTGATTCACTCGTGTGAACCTCAAAGTGCGCATAGTAAATGAAGTCAAGCAGCGCACGAACCGCAAGAAGAACCCTCTCGTCTTCGACAGAACCTGCAAGCACACCAACGAAAACCTTTTCCATGTGCTTGTATTCGTTTCCGGTCCACTGTGAGATCAGCGAGATTCCCTTCTTGAAGTAGCGCAGATCACCATGTGGGGACATCGTCCGAAACCGCCGGTCGACTTCGTCTTCTCCGCCCTCAACGCATTCGGTTGCCCATTTCACCGTGTGATCTTTAAACATGCCCTTGTGTAGTTGGTGGAGGATGTCCGGAGTGAAGCAAGTGAAGATG